CGGGGCTGGGCGGGGACCGGCCGCTTGGTATTTCTCCCTGGAGAGATACCGTGGTCGACCAGGAAGTATTCCTGCCCTGCTTGGTTGGCGTGGATGAGAGGGATGAATAACTTGCCGCAGCTACGATTCCTTTCATCAAAGTTTCCATGTGAGTGCCTTGGTGTTAATTTTTCTTCAAAAAGCACGAAACCGTGCCCTTTACAGTTGTGATGAAATAAGGTCCTCTCTGAGCAGCAGACAGCTTCATCGTTTCCGTTGCATTGTGTTACGTTTGGCTGTTGTGTCATGAGGGCTCAAAAGGAAGTGCCTCCACTGCAGCCTTAACAGAAACGATGAAAACGTGCAGCATTACCGTTTGTGGTACTTAATGCCTTTGGTTCTGTCTTTCAGAAAATGGCAGTTAATGTGTATTCTACTTCAGTGACTAGCGATAATTTGAGTCGACATGACATGCTTGCGTGGATCAACGAGTCTCTGCAACTGACGCTGACAAAGATTGAACAGCTATGCTCAGGTGAGGGGAGTTCCAAATTTCATGTGCACCCTCGTTCTGTAGAGATCCAGTCGCATTGTGTGAACCATCTGTGCTGGCCCTCAGTAGCCATGCTGTTGGCCTAACTCCTGGCATGAACAGATTCAAGGTCAATGTTATAATCTGGTTGTGCTTAGAGTTTTATTGAAAAGGTTGTTAATAACGTAAGCATAATGAAAAGGCATATTCTTCTGACTCACTGCGGCATAGATGCTATAAGAGGGAATGGGGGTTAATGTGGAGAAAACACTCTTAGGAGAAGGTGTTTTCCAATGAGGAATTAAGCGTTTAGTCTTGATGGATAGAGTAAGTATTACAAGTATAGTAACTAGCATAAACAAATGTGATTTCTTACAGAAGAGAACTACTAGCAGATTTGGAAGGTTGGGCAGAACGAGCAGAGTGAGGAAGGCACACTGGTGACTCTTGGGTTTGCCTTCATGACTTTACAACTCCTTATGGTAAAGGAGTATGTTCATCTGTGTCACCCGAGCTTACTTTGATTTGAGCTGACTTTAGCACA